TTATCATCATCATCAAAATGTTTCGCCATTATCATCAGGGCTCTGGCCGTCATCATCATCAGAGCGCTGGGCGTTGTTCGTCATCATCATCGTTAAGGTTCGTCGGCATCATCACCATTAGGGGGCCGCTCGTCTGACCATCATCGCCATCATCATTATTGATACTATTGTGATCATCATCATCAGGGCGTAGGGCTTCATCATCACTATCATCCCTCGGCGATCGCAGGGCGCTGTGCGTCGCCGTTATCATCATCATCATCAAAATGTTTCGCCATCATCATCAGGGCGCGGGCTGTCATCATCATCAGAGCGCTGGGCGCTGTTCGTCATCATCATCATCAAGGTTCGTCGGCATCATCACCATTAGGGGGCTGCTCGTCATCATCATCAGCAGCAGCAGCATCAATGCCATCAACAGGAGGTGACTCATCATCACCTTCATCCTTTTGTGATCGCAGGGCGCATCATCATCACCATCATCATCATCATCATCATCATCATCATCATCATGTGATCGTAGGGCGCTGTGCGTCATCATCATCATCATCATCAAGTCGGTATCATCAGAGCGCTGGCCGTCATCATCATCAGAGCGCCGGGCGCTGTTTGTCATCATCATCATCAAGATTCGTTGGCATCATCACCATTAGGGGGCTGCTCGTCATCATCATCAGCAGCAGCAGCACCAACGCCATCAACAGGAGGTGACTCATCATCACCGTCATTCTTTTGTGACCGCAGGGCGCTGCGCGTCGTCGTCGTCGTCATCATCATCATCATCATCATCATCATCATCATCATCATCATCATCATCATCATGAGTTTCGTCAACATCAGCATCATCATTACCGTCGTTATTGTCATGATGTCTCTCACATAAGTAGGTGGGTTTGGTCGTCATCATCAGCATCAGCATCTTCAAGATACTATTCATCGCCATCTGTAAATCAAAAAAGGAAAAAAGAAAAATCTCTCTACATCAAATTTCTGAAATTTTTAGTTCTGATGGATGTGCTTCAGTCGGGATAGGGCTTCTGTGTCACGGTTGGGACTTTTCGGGGAAGGGTGGGGGTGGTATTGGGGAGCCTTACTCTACAGGGGCGCTGCAAGGTGGGAGGTGGTTGCCCTGACGGGGGTGAGGTGGATTTGTGGTTTGTCCTTGTTTGGGGCCGGGGGGGGAGAGTTGGTCGCCTTCAACCCCGGCGGGGGCAGATAGGGGCAAGGGG